GGTGGCTCCTGCGGGGAGGTGGCTGGAGGGAGACAGGCAGAGCCAGGGGGGACCCTCCAGGAGCGACTGCTCTTCAAGGTCCGGGAGCGTCGGGGCCCAGGACGCGCCACCCAGGGCCCAGGGAGAGGAGGTGGCAGGGAGCCGGGGCGGGCGAGGAAGCTGGATGCTGGCACTGCGGGCACCGGAGAGGCCCCTGGCTCGGCGCCGGGGAGGGCTGCCAGGTGGCACTGGAGTGATTGCCCCGGGGACTCAGCACGGTGGACGCTCACGGTCCGGCTGGCTCTGGTGCGGTCTCGCCCGATCCGGGTCAGGACGGGGGGGTGCACAGCTGCAGGTCTTGGCTGAGGGATGAGGGACGAGGTGGGCTGTGGTGTGGCAGGTGGGGGGCGGCATTCAGCACACGGCGCGTTGCTCGAATACAGCGTGGCACGGTTCCAGGGGCAGCCAGACTGTGGGTGGCGAGGTGGAGCTGTTTGAAGTCAGGGAGGCCAGCACCAGGCTGCGGCGAGCCGGGAGGGGCCGGGGGACGAGTACCTTTGGGGAGGGGCCGGCTGTGCAGCAGAGCCGGTTCCCGCCCAGGAAGAAAGGTGGCCGTGGGGCCGGGCGTGAGGATCGCCTCCCTCCTCCAGGGCCGTGGTGACCACGGGTCGCCCAGGCCACAGGGCAGTCATTTGGCAGCAGAAGTCCTCACGGGACAGTGAGGTGCTGTTGGAACACGGCCACCCGCGGCTGCCCTGCCCTACGGAGGACACCCCACACAGTGGACCCCGGAGCCAGGCGCCTTCTCCGGGCCCAGCGTTTCCGCAGCCCCGCCCTCCTGTCACTGGACAGATCTTTCCAGAATGAAGGTCGATGCCGGGTCTGCCTTCCTGACAGGAGGCCCCTTGGTGGGGTGCCGCCCACCCTCCCCTCAGCGGACCCTCCTGGCAGGTACCCAGCAGCAGTCCCCCCGTCACCCACACCCCTCAGTGGGGAGCAGCACTTCCCCGTGCCACCCGCACCCCTCCATGGGGGCCAGCAGTCCCCCACGCCACCCGTACCCCTCAGTCGGGGGCAGCAGCCCCCCACATCGCCTCTCTGCCTGTCCCGTTGCTCATAACGTTAGGAGCTTAGTGTGGTTCCTGCCTCCCTGCGTGGCCTTGGTGGGCCTGTGGGCCGCCTGTGTCGGCTGGCTCGGGGCCAGCGACCGGGTGGACGCTCTGGAAAGGGTTAGAGTGGAGGGCCGGGTGGACAGGCCGGTGGCCTCCCCCGGATGGGGAGGTGAGTGCCCGCCCGTCCTGCTCATGGCCGAGGTGTGACAATACCTGTGGCCGATGGTGCCTCCGTGCCGTCCAACATTCTTGGGGCGGGGCGTTCCCGGCCTCACCCCACAGCGGGAAGGGGTGCCATGAAGAGATTGGACTTCACCTGCTGGGTGTCGCCTTGAGAGGCGGGGGCCGAGGTGGCAGGAGCAGGGTGGTCCTCTCTGTCCTGTGAACGCCGCGTCTGCCTCTCTCTCGTGCCCACGGCTGGCCCACCGTCCAGCTGCAGGCCCGGTCCCAGCCGCCCTGGGCGTCTGTCCTCCTCCCCCCGCCAACCTGAGGTCCTGCCGCCCCACGAGCCGCCGACCTCTCGGTCCCCAGGAGCTGCCTGGCGCTGGGCGCGGCGCCCTGAACAGCTAACGCGTCCTGCGGCGTCATGACCGTCAGGGTCTGTCTCGTCCCAGCCTGGGAGCTGGGCTGGAATGGTGCCTGAGTCGCCGCGTGTCCCAGCCCTCTGCAGGCTGATGAGATGCCAGGTTCATGCCTGTCTGCTGCCACGTCCCCAGGAACCCACATCACTGGAGGCCATGTCACCAGGGGCCATGTCACTAGGGACCGCGTCACCAGGGGCCACGTCACTGGGGCCGTGGCTTCCCTCTCCCCCTTGTGTTTTCAGCACCTGGCCGGCTGGGGTTGGAATGGAGGGTGGGGTGGGCAGAGGAAGGGGCCAGGGAGGGTCCTTTGTGGGCAGGGCTGCCTTTTGCCCGGAAAGGCCATGGGGCCCTTTGGTGATGTGGGGCGGGTGGGGCTGTCAGACAGGGGGCTCCATGAGCCCTGGCTCTCGCCTGGGGGGCACAGTGCCCTGAGGTCCCTGGCTAAGGAGAAGGCCAGAGCCAGTGTAGGGGTGTGGGCAAGGGGGGCCCATCCAGCCAGACCTCAGTGAGGTTTAGGCCCATCCGCCTAAACCCCAGCCCCGCCCGCCTCCTCTACGCTCACCGACCCCTGCCCCCGCCGTCAGGACTGCACCCCTGGGGCAGCTCCCCCAGCTGTCCACCTGCCCCGCCTGTCCCCCTGCCCTCCTTTGTCCCGGGCCCCCACCATCACGCCTGGGCCCGCCACCTCCTGCTCTGATCTCTGCCCCCACATGCAGGCCCCGTTCTACTGCAGTCCCCCGAGGTCACCCCCTTGGCGCCTCACTGTCTCCGTGGACTCAGGCCGCCAAGGGCCAGGCACTGTGGGTCGGTCCTCTGCAGAGAGGCCGCGGGCTTCGCTCAGGAGTCAGCCCCAGTCTGCCCCGCGCCCATGCTCCTCACACCATCGCGAGCCCTGGTCTCCTTCCCAGGAGCAGCCCCTGCTGCCCTGTCCTGTGCCCTGCTGGGCCACGCAGACAGCTCTTTGACTGTCTGTCAGTCTGTCCGGTGTATGAAGGCTGGCGCGGGAGCCAGGCCCAGAGCTCATGCCCGCACCCCGGAACCGGGCCGGCGACGGCCCCAGGAGGGAGGCTGCAGGCCAGCGCTGTGACCAAGGTGTGGCGTGCTGTGCTGTGCGACTGGAAGGAGTCGGTTTCCCCTTCAGGCGTCTGAGGAGTCACTCAGGAGGTGGGGAGCGCGACAGTGTCCCGGGACAGCCCCGTGGCACTGACGAGGCGAGTCCCAAAGCTGCTGAGGGCCGGTGTGTGGGTGGCTGGCCGGCTGGTCACCCCCATGTCACAGGGGAACCGTGAGCCCCACCGTGAGCGGGAAGGGTCCCGCTGACCAGGGCTGATTCGTCTTATGCTTGGGGACTCATGGACAGACACATGGACGAGCAGACCCCACATCACGGAGTGGTCATCGGGGTGAAGGGGCAACAGGAGTCCCGTTGATTGGTGCCAGCAGCTGTGCGTTGGGTGTGGCGTGGCCTGGGGCCGGGCAGGGCCTCTGGTGAGCAGGCTCTGCCACTGCCGGGCTGAGACCACGTCCTCCCTCCTGTGTCTGGGGGGGACACGGGGTCCCTGGAAGAGGCTTCTGCGGCAGATGAGATGCAGCCGGGTGCAGGGGCGAGGGAAGCATGTTGTTGAAAGAGGCCGTTTGGGGGCTGTGGCCAGAAGAGGAGTCTCGGCCCACGGGGCCTCGGGTCTACGGCTGTGTTGCCTCTGGGGCACGCCCGGGCCACCCCTGCAGGGCTCAGGACCCTGACACCCCCGGCCAGCCCGGAACGTCCACTCATGCCAGGCAGGGGACCTTGAGGAGAAGTGACAGGGAGAAACCCGCAGGACACCTGAGCTGCCGGGCTGGGCCGGGCGCCCGTGGTAATCAGCCTCTGGTAATCCTCACACAATGCACGGCGTTGGGCTGTAAACCCACTGGCTGGCACCCAGCCCTCCTGCCTCCTCCCCACCGAGATCTGCAAGGCTCCTTGCATGCCAGGCGGCCCATCAACCCACCTCTGCCGCCAGCCCGCTGCTCCTGCACCCACCACTGGGCACCCCGCTTTTCCTGAGCGGCTGCAGGGCCCTTGCCTCTGCCCCCCTTGTCTGGAGCCCTTGTGCCAGTCCAGGGAGCTGCACCCCCATTGCCCTGCTGGCCACCGTCACCCTCCAGACGTTCAGCGAGGCATCCTTGTCTCAGGAACGGACGCTGTCTGCAGTTCTTACTGGTCTAACAGGATGTCGAGTGTTGTTGGAGTCGCAGACTGGGGCCAAAGGTGCAAAGTGCTGCCCCACCGTCCAAATTCAGGGAGCCGCCAGCTGGAGCTGGCCCCTGCCCCCGGGCACTGCCCACCCCCACGTCTGCCCCCCAGCCCACTGCCCCCAGGGCTGACCGTGCACGGCCCACCCCCACGTCTGCCCCCCAGCCCACTGCCCCTGGGGCTGACCCCCCACCGCCCCCCACGTTGACTGTGCACTCCCCTCCCGGGGGCTGACCACCTTCTGCTGCCTGTCCCCAGGATTGACTGCCCATTTGCCCCTGCCCCCTGGGCTGAGCGCCCCCTGCCACCTGCCCCCAAGACGGGCGGCAGGGTTGCTGGTTTAGGGGAGCGCAGCATTTGGTGGTGAGAAGTGACCCCTTGCACCCCAAGGCAGGGGCTTTCCACGAGGGTCGCTCTCGCAGCTGGACCCTGGGGGGGCCACCCGAGCCGGGGAGGGGGTGTGGAGAAGACAACAGCCCTTAAGGCCGCCTCTCCCGCTGCGCACGATCGTGTGTGCAGACGGGCGCACACCAGACCTGCGCCCGGGCCGCCGCCCCCCGGGCAGGCCAGCTCCTGTCTCCCTCACGCCGCCCAGAGCACAGCCCTGTGTTCCGGGAAGGGCCGGACCCGCAGGCCGTGCAGCCCAGCGGTGCTGCAAGCAGGCACAGTTTGTCAGCTCCACGTTACAGACGAGGAAACCGCCGCTCAGGAAGATGACCGGCCCAGGCGAGGGCCAGGCAAAGACCTGTGAGGCCGGACTGCAAGCCAGGCCTGGCTGCCTCCCAGACGGCACTGAAGGGGACAGTCAGGAGCCGTGAAGCCTGTTGACCGCGTGAGAGCAGGGCCGGGGGAGTCGCGTGGCGCAGGAGCAGGGAGTGTGCGGACGTCCTCCCTGGGCCGTCACCTGGACGGTCACCTGGGCTCTGAACACTCCGTCCGGGGCGCAGGCGTCCACACCCGCTCGCGTGTTTCCCGGCTGTTCCTGCCCCCCACCTCTTTTGTCTTTCGCTTCTCTGTGATTTCGCTCGTCCACATGTTGTGTAATAATTAAAAACATCTAAGACAGCCGCCTGGACCTGGTTTTGATAGATGCCTGAAGGGGCTTGTGCCGAGGCTGGCTCACCGGCCCCAGAAAGGGCTGCTCTCTGCGCGGGGGCTCGGGGAGGTGGCCGAGGCGCGCTGGGGCTTCCTTCAGGGTCTCCCGCCCCTGCCCTTGCCTCGGTGGTCCCTCCGGACCTGGCACATCGCCGGACCCCCTGCTGCAGCAGACAGAGCCCCAGGCCCCTGCTCCGGCGGGTGCCCTCGGCGGGAGCCGCTCAGGACACACAGTGGCTTTAGGAGTTCCGGGTTTCATACCCGAGCCCCTCCGGGGAGAGCTGACTGAGCTGGAGTGCCTGCGGCGGCTGTCCTGCCAGTGAGCGCTTCCAGGGCCCTGAGAGGCAGCTGCCTCTTCTCACCCAGACGTTGGTGGGCTCGCGAGCCTACGAGGGACAGTGGACACACTTGTCGTTTTGCACAGGATAGAGTGGCGGCTGCGGTGGCTGTGGGAATGCCACCTGGGGTTTGAAGCCAGGGTAGGAGGGCCACCCGCACTCCCCCCCTCCCAGGACAAAGCAACCCAGGCAGCCACCGCCGGGTCCCCTCTGCCAGGGGCCGCTGCCTGCTCCTGCCGTGGGCCCGGCGTTTCCGGTGGGACATATTAAATTGACAGTTTCAGAGGCCTCGTTGTAGGTCGTTTGTTCAGGGGACCTTGATGAGGACGGCGTCAGACCTTGTGTTACCCGTGTTTGCTCAGGGGCCCTGGTGGGGACAGTGGCAGGGTGCTCTGTCAGCCTCTGCCTCACACAGCTTCCTGACGCTCCTTTACGTCCCATCAACGTCTTAGCTCTGTCGTTACGTGTCTTCAGGTCGGCTCCAAGTCGGCGACCCTGCCCTGCTTGAGCACGTTGTCACAGCCACTGTCCCTCCAGCCTGGTTGGTTGGTTGGTTGGTTGGTTAGTTGGTTGCTTAAGTAGCGTCTGCTTTCTGCGTTTCTAGATGAACGGTCTCGCGGGCGGCACCACGGCGACCCATTCCTTCACCAGAGCTCGCTGAAGCGACTTCCTGTAACACCAGCAGGCCCCAGGCCTTCCCGGGTGGACAGGTGAGTCTGGCGACACTGGGCCCAGGACGGCAGCTGCCACAGAGGCAGACGCAAAGTTCCCTCAGGTCCACGGCTGCCTCCTGTCCAGCGTCCGTGTGGGTCCCGTGGCCTGCGTCTCAGGGTCACCCCTCAGGGAGAGGGGGCCCCGAGAACCCCAAGACCCAGACAGGTTCGCTGTGGCCGTTCCCTGCACCTCCCTCCTCGCACCGCTCTCTCCACGTGGGCTCTGCCCCCGTGGCTCCTCGCACCGTCAGCTGCCTGGGAGGTGGCTCCGCACTGCCGGGCTCCCTTGGGGCTTGACGCTCACAGGCCAGTTACCATGAGGGGTTTGTAGCGGTTTGGATTTGCTGGTGTCACCTCACAGCCGTTGTTTGTCGCCACCGCGTCACCACAACCCCGTGTGTGCCCAGAACTGGTCCATAGGGGTTGGGTTTGTTTGAACTGTTATTGTGATTTGGATGAGTTTGCAGAGCAGGTCGGATCTGCGTTAAGCAGTCCGCAATGCATCCTGTTTTGTGATGTCGATGCGGCCCCAGTGATGTAGCAATGCCCTCCCACTTCCTCCCCGGGGTTCCTGTCTGTCCCGCCCTTCTTTCCCACCCCTTCAACCTCCTGAGGTTCACGCCTGGGCGGACGCTGCCCTGCCCGTGTGGACTATGTTGTTTAAGGCGCGTGCCCTCCCTGGCTTCCTGCTCACCATGCACACCTGTCTGACCGAAGGCTGGGCTCTGGGGTCTGTGGGGTTTTCTGGGCTTCAACTTTTCGGACTCAGATCACCAGACCTGTCCTCCAAGGAGCGCTGGGGGGATCCGACACCAGGCTTTCAGCTGGTTGTTGGCCGCCTAACTGTGCCTCCCAGGGTCTCCTTCTAATGA